GCAGTCATGTTTGCGTTGTTAATTCAGAATAATATTAGTATAATGTTAATGTAAGGTTAATATGCTGAGATAACGCAGGAAGCAAAATTTGTATACTACCCTTTTAAATGTTTTGTAATTTCCTCATTCACATCTCTCTGAGCCCGAGTTCACGTTGGGGTCGAACAGAAGAATATGCAACGACTTTTACGCCAAAATTTTGTGTTAGAGAATAACGGCATGTGGAATGTGCATTGAAAATCTCGACTTTTAGAATGGTGTTGGGGACAATGCATATACAAACTTATTTTGCTTGCCTGACCGCTTAATAGTTAATACTAAGACCTGGCAACATTATATAAATATATTCTGCTCAGAATCGGTGGTATCAGAGAGCCTGTCCCTCTGGAGCAAAAATACATCAGTAAATGCTATTCGGCCAAATGTTGTAAGGGAAAAAATTCGAAATATTTTTGGGGATCGATTTCTTTTGTGTGAAAATTAATTTGTCACACAAACGGTCACACAGAGTTACAGATGATTTGCAGAGTATCACCTATTACATCATATATACTTTAACGAGAATCGAAAATGTGCTAATTTATGCTTTAGCGTCTTAACGACTGTCACACATGCCAACATGCATTGTGGCTAGGCAATATATTATAATATTCGGGATCTGATGATCTGACACTGCGAGAATTATAATCCAACACGCTCACAGATTGATTTTATACTCCATGAATTAGCCTTATATTTCTCGCATTCTGTAACTCTAATGATATATTCAATGTTATCTTTATCAATACGATAATAATCAGGATTCTGTAGCCACTTAGTTGGTTAGACCAATCTGAACCTCTAATGATTATATAGCCTCGCTGGTATAATTTTTTAAAAACAATACCATATGTTACATTAGCTAATCTCACAGATAATTGCTATTTCTTCTCAATTATCCACTCATCATCTCTTGTAGGCCATAAAGGGGTGGGATAAGTATCATGAGGAGTTATACCTAAGAGTTTCTTTCTATCAGGAGTACCATCATTCCTCACCGCCTCCCAAATTCGTTTTGCCAAAGATTCGGGTCTCTTCTTGTAATTCCTGTAAGCTCGCTGGATAACTGTTGCATAGAAATTTTTAAAGCCATAATTATAGTATTTAGGAATCAAGAATCCCCAAGATCGCTTCATTGATCTTCCTTTTTTTAGGCGACTAACTTGTAATTTTTTATTGTTGAAAAACTAACAAAAACTGTTATGCAAACAGTTTACAAAACTGCTTAAAAGAGTATTGTGTAGTTCCCATGATAAAAAGAAATAACTACCATGATACATGTTATCTACAAAAAGTAGGTACCCCTGGCAAGTCTAGTAAATGACAAAGCGTCATTACGTGCCTCGAACTAAACTATCCACCTAATAACCTATGCCCATTGAGAAAAAAAAACTGAGGTAAAAGAAAACTAAACTAGAACTAAACTAAAACCACCCCAGCGAAAAAAAATACCCAGAAAACATTCAAAAGGTTCTTGAAGACTTCATCGTAAACCGGCGGCTACGACCGTATTCACAATCTGACAGGCAGCGCCCACGCCAATACACCCATCACGGTATCCGGTGCGTTCTACCGATCAGCCCCTGAAGATCTTCGTATCACTCAACTGTACAACCAGACTACAACCTAAACACCAATAAACAACCACATCACACAAAAGTGTTCAGCAGTTGGGATATCCCCACATCCCCCAAACATTTTACCGAAAGGAGTCGTGGAGACAAAACAAAAATATTATTTCACCAACAGTAGAGACAAGTCATGCCTGTTTTTTATCCGTTATTTTCTGCCAAGTTCATTCTACCAGCGCAAACAGAACTATTTTCAGATAAAAGAAAGCTTTAGGCCAGTCTTACGACAGACCTTCCTACCCAAAGGAAAGGAGAAAACTACCACTTCCAGGTATCCGAAAGGACTGAAAACGTTGGTACTCTTCATTAAAATAACCTTTTATGGAGTTCTCTGAGCCAAAAGGCTAAAAAAGCTTGTGAAAAAAAAGACGAAAATTTTAACACGGAGGTGTAAGAGAGAGAGTTTTTTTTTTCGCTTCATTGATCTTCCTGAAATACTTTATTAAAATAGTTATACAATATTGGAGGATCTAACCCAGAATAGACGGATCATGCATAGTGATTCTCTTCATATATATGAAGCATTTCACAATTATACTAGGCGATCATGTATGCAGATTATATAGTGCAAAAATTAAAGTATAACATATGTTTGGCTAAATGATATTAATCTTCAGTTGAATCAGTTAAACGATCGTGATTACTGTCCCATCTCTCAATCTTAATACAGTACCTTTTGGTTGATTAAGATGGTTTAAGTTATTTTGTTTTGCGTATATAGATGAAATAAATATTTCGCTTCCACTTGTTCTATCAAACTGCGGGAGGGAATCAGGTGTATTTTTTCCAGGATATAATACCCCCCTCCTGTCAGAAGATTTTTCACATAATATTTCTGACTTTGAGCTTGTGAGAAGATGGGCTGGTCTCTTTAGGATCGCTTCTATATGTTTATTAGTCTTGAAACATGAGTTATCCCAGTGGTGTTTCATCAAGTCTTCAGGCTTAATCTCATACCCATATCTCCGCCATCTACTGAAATATGTCTTTTTTGGTTTTACATCAGTGATCTCTACTAATTTCCAACAATCGAAGCAAATAGCCATCTTGCAATTGTGAATATTAGGTCTGTGATAACCAATGGCAACTTCTCTCCCTTTATAGCCATTATAGTATGTCTTGGTTACTCCCTGCCCAGATGATCCGAAAAGGCAGAATACATGATAATAGCTTCTATGGCCTTCAGTAATCAATGCTTGCAAAGTGTCTTTTACACGAATAGCCCATTGCTGTGGAGTTTCATACGAACTAATAATAGATAAATTATCATATATTCTTTCAACCTCAACCATCTTTTCGAATTGACCAGGATAAGGAAACCATAACGGTTCCTAATATATTCAATATCGTATCCAGGACGAAGATTGATGGGTTTAGGCACAGATTTATTATAAACCTCGTCTAAAATAATATCAATGTATTTACCAGGCCTAGGTCTATTAACAATATTTCCTGACATAATTATCAATTTATAGTGTTTTTAACGAATTCTGGTGATTCTTTAGCAACTTATACTAGATAATATCACCATTCAAATTTATACGGATTTACTGATTGAGATTTAAGCGATTAGTTGATTTGTAGCCGATTTGTGAGACTACATATTGCTAAATCCAAATTCATTTTTATTCGATTATAAGCATGTCGGGAGATTTATATAGGGTCATGTCTCGGCTAAGCTAATTTTATATTTACATGCATATGCATAGCGCTTTCAGCTAAATCAGTTTGTGGCATGATGTACTGTATATCGTATCACATGAGATCTTCCCTAGTTCCTTGCCAGTTCCTCGAAAGTTCTAGGAGTGTTCCAGGAGCTGGCGAGTTTCTATAAATCACGAGATGGTCAGCCAATCAGATTCTGTATAGCTAAAAAAAAGAAACGTCATAACTCAGACGTGAGGCAGTGCAGTGTTTATTTTTTTTAATTGCCGAAGCGTGTTTATAAAATTCGAAATAAAAGGTCTATTTGGGACCAAATCTTTATTACATGAGAAAAGATCAGCCAGGAGAAATATAACAAGCTAAGATCCTATATAATATAATCTAATACAAAATAGACAATATGCAATACAAATGAACTATATTACATGAAATTTAGATCTTGAGACATGAAGATATCTTCCAAATTATCTTCTTCGCTTGAGCCTAAGTTAATAAAAGCATTTAGCTATAATCTTTATGTTACGTTAAAAACCTAGCATTAAGATATTAAAAACATTTACCTGTAAAAGATGATGAATCATTAGAGCTGGATACAGGAGTGATATTTAGAATATGCGGGGCCAGAATTCTTAAATATCCTTCAAGGTGGTCAAGTTTTTCACGGATGGTAAGGATCTCATCATTTGATCGAGTATATCTATTAAGCTGTTCACTGAAGCGAGCTGTATTTGTCATAAAATTATCATATTGCTCGTCGTTCGCTGACCAAACACGCCCTTCGATATTAAGAAGCTTATCGTATAATGCCAACATGTTTTCATGGTTCTCGGCGTTAACTTCATTGAACTTTTTGGTCAGATATGTTTTAATTTCATCATCCAAACTCGTTTCCTTACTATAGAGTCGATTAAGAAGGGCATCCGTACTCACTTCTATGTTTTCTAAAGTAGAATTGATATCGCCAAACTTCTTGTTAAAAATTAGTTCCAAATGTGTTTGAACCGCCATAGTAATCCTGCTGGCTTGTACTGGATCAATATTAGTGAGTTGTTGTCTACTAACACGTAAGATGTGCCAGATAGTAGTGAAAATAGATCCAATGAAGATTAAAACATAAATCACTTCAGAAGTATTGAACAAGACTTGAATACTTTGCATTCCCATCTATGAATAAATGATGTGATTAGATATAGTTATTGCAGGGAAAGGGGAAAACCAATACATTACCATATTCTTGAATAATTTTCGATTTTATTTTTTTTCTTGCAAAAAATGATTTCGCACTGCTTTTATAGGTTTTGGGTTTCTTACGACACAGAACAACAATCTCATTACGATAATTTTAATAACACTATATTTTTTCCCCTTTTTGGTGTTCACCAGCTCTTACGCAAACAGGGAACACAAAACATATCTTTCTTTTGGTCGAAGGCGCTAAAGCAAATAATCTTCGACTAAAATCATTATGCGAAATAATCATATTTCACTTGGTCGATTGCTTAGTTTCAAAAAATCTAAGAAAGACAAAATTAATATGTAAAAATTTATATATGGTTTAGACCCAACATGTGACACCCAACGGACACCCGAAGGATGTCACGTGTAATACATGCGGACTTTTTTAAAAATGAAATTATGTTTTTTTTATTAAGGTTGACATGGCCAAGTCAATACATAATTGTATAAAAATCTTATGGGGGTAACCCGAATTCATGGACCGGGCTTCTTAGTCATATTTGCCCCCACAATTCTTGTCATTTAATGACAACTCGATATAATATTGTCTATATCTTCTCTTCTTAGTTCTGAGAAAAAAGAAACGGGAAGGGTGATTCTATATATTTTATCTACTCCAATTTCATTAAAAATTTCATAAATGACACGAGCCCTTTTTATCTTTCTGCGGACGATAGACTGGTTGATATCAGGAAAAAGACCTTCTACTTCATTATTAAGAGCCTCTCGAGCATTGTGATCATTACCAGATGCAGGTAGTAACATTGCATATCGATTTTCAAGTACTGTTCCAAATCGGAAATTAGATGATATTGCTAGATGATTAGCATCTCTCGCATTAGTTTCCGCATCATCAGATTCACGATATAAGTTGTAAATTTGTTCCAAAATCCCACCAGAAGAACTATCACCCCGCTGACTTTGTAAATCGGTAGCTATAAAACTTTCATTTGGGACAGTATTTAACTCCCGAATAATAAGTGGAATATCGCGTTCTAAACGTTCTATACGTCTATTTCGTCTAGATGGGGCTGATACACTCTCTCCAGATAAAAGACCGGGTGAAGATACTGACGTTTCACTTAAATTGGTAGGTCTTGCAGAGCGAGTCGGATTTCTGCGTCTTGATGCATTTGAGTTAAAAGAAGTGATGGAAGAATCTGTTGTGTTTGGAATATGGGAGGTATTAGAAGAACTAGCGATATTTGATGATAATTCTATATTAATATTTGGAGAATTGAGAGGTATTTCTAGTGTGAGATCAGGATTGAAGTCAGTCTGAAAATTGGTAAGGGCATCATAATCTATCCACATGTCTTCATTCGAATACTCGATTTCTTCTACGGCTATGCTTGACTCAGTCGCATTGACCGTATCTTCAGAAACACTAATTTCTATAGGATTACGACACTTGGGGCAACGCTGTCTATGGGAATATTCAGATATGAAACATATGAAGTGTAATATATGCTTGCAAGGTAACCTGGCATACGTTTGCATTAAAGTAACTTCATTAAGGCAGATACAACAAATAATACTTTCAGGTGAGTCAACACCATTGACAAGAAGTTGTGGAGCTTGTTCTAATATAATTCTTAAAGCAATACGGGCATCCTCTAAGAGTGAATCCATACTCAAAGAGAGCCTTAATTGTATATTTTTTTTTCATACCCCTCCTTAAATACAAAATGAGTGTGGGAACTTAACCCCTTGAAAATGAAGATTAGGCGGATCTAATACATAATTGACTATTTTACCGAAATTACGTCATAAGACCTTGGACCTGGTTTCATTATTACAAAAATAGCATATCCGGGGTCTCATCAATCCTCCTACGAAAATAGGACATCTAAAAATAAAAAACACTGCGGAAATAGCACAGGGCGTAGTTAAATCACAGGAGAAGTTTAGAGATGACGTCTTACTGCGCATTATATCTAAGCCACCCACGTGATTCGAAAAAACAAAATAACCTATATGGCGATTCAGTCTATGCGAATGTACGATTCTCCCAATATTACTCCTAAACAGTCACTGGAGAGATGGTGGGACTCATTACTGACTGAGATACGGGATCATCAAAAATATATATCATGGTTCTCAAAATCGACATCAGCCTTCTTTGGGAGTCGCAGTATCATGTGTTTAATGACGTAACATATTTTCGCCCGATCCTGGGTATTTACTACAGCGCGGAGCGACCCTAGACGAGAAGCTAAATAACCTAAATTAAATATAAGGTATTTTGGTATATTATCGTCATGGAACAAACCTATTCTGACACTAGTGCTGGTGATAAAATTGAGGTATACGAATTCTTGGAAGCTTTGGGATTATTAGATAATGAAGTCGCGCCCGTCAACATGGATGATGATGACAATAACGAATCTGACATCGACGAAGAAGATAGTGATGATGATCAGGACAATTATTGGGACCCTAGGAAAACATATACCGGATGGGATTATAGAAGACGTTTTGGTGAAGATGCTTTGAAAAAACTTTATCAAGTCCGGGAAGCTCGACATCGGAACATTGTACTCATGGAATTTACCAGACGTCTTCCAGACATAACTGATCGAGAAAAAAATAGATTATTCGACGCATTCTCTAGGTCTAATGCATTTGGGGTGAAAGAACATAATGCACTCTTGGATGCGTTAGCCGATCCCGTGAAAGGTTGGGATCTTAATAATTATTGAATGGATAATTCCCCGGCAGATTATGCATGCCTGTGACGCAATTACTTATATCTGTGGATAAAGGAGATCGAACTCCTTAATTTTTTGTATCCTATTAGGAATAACGATTTCCGGTTTAAGTTCAGCTATTCTTTCATTATTCAATGAAAGGAGTTTGTTTCTAAGATCGGGGATCTCAGTATTCTCCTTCCTAAGCTCTACATTCTCAGCCTCAAGATCAGTGATACGTTGTTTCAATAATTCAAGCTCGGATGACATGATCTATATAACTAATACAATGTATATAAGCATTCAAATAAAAAAAATGTGTTTTTGGGTTGGAGACTCTCAACATGAAATTTTCTTGGCAAAAGTGATCGGCGTGAACAATTGTTCACGCGCACGTGATTTTTTTTATTTGTCATCCATGCTGACGGGCCGAATCATGTAATTTATTTACTACATCAAGTAAAGAATTCGGCCGAAAAGGCTATGCATTGTGGGATATAGATGTATGGTGAGTAAAAAAAGTGAGTCCTAAAGTCCCACTTAGATAAAATAAATCGTGTCCAATATGAAAGTTGTAATCGTCTGAACTTGATAAATAAATGCGCAATAACGTTAGACATCATGTATCCCGGGAATAAGTAACAAGTAATTGCATGTAATTTATTCCTGCATATATTCAAAGCTTTACGTATAACAAAAAAGACCTCCCTGTTGATCTTTGTATATAGGTAGCGTCAAAGTTTTTTTTTATTATAATTTTAAGTATTAGTTTATTAAAATATGTAAACTACATAAAGATAAAAGCACATGACCTAACTCTAATAGTTTGGAGATACATTAATTAATTCAATAAATTACTAATCTTCATTAGCGAAGAATCAGTTATTGACGAATCAATTTTACCGATCACTTGTTGATTTATGTTGCTTTCTTTAAGTAAATTTAAAAGATCACCGCCATAATATGCTGAAGAATCACGTGAATCATCTCCTTCATCCAAAGTACTATACGCCTTATATCTAACTCTTTTGGTTTTTGGAGTGAAGTTAACCTTCGGTAATCTTGATTTCTCTGCCTCCGATGGAAGTCTTGGCAATTCAGAGCAAAGTTTTCGTTTCTTTCCGGAAATCCCTTTGTCAAGAAGATTTCTCAAATAAAGGCCATCCTTGCAAAAAACCTGCCTCAGATAAACTATTAAATTGAACGTGTTTTCGATATTAATTCCAATGCAATCTGATTGCAAGTCAAAGCTCTTGATGTCTTGATCATAAAGATATAAGATGGTATCGTATTCTTGGCTGTAGAGAGGTCTTAACATTCCAAAACGTATATGAGCATTATTTACTAAAGCAACATGCACTCGGATCAAGGATATTTCCGATTCTGAATACGTATGAGTCGAAAGTATGCGGTTTAGGGCATGGGACGCTTCAGCAACAACAACAGCATAATCTTTATGGACCTGCATACCACCAACTTCAAACTCCAAGATAAAAAAAGGGTACTGCTCCTTTGTGGTAAGGGAAGTAGCAACACATGCAAAATCTGACCTGGCCGATCCCTTTCCGCTATCACCAGGAATTTGATGATGGAGTTCCCATGTAGGTTCAAAAGGAACAATATTAAGAGAAAATGCATCCGACAATATTTTTGTCCATAGCTGGGATTTAAAATGATTTTCAGATGGATCAGCACCAGGGCGAACTGGTAAAGGTGTGAATAGTAGGATTGATGTCAATGCAGACAAAGCTGTTGGTGCATCAATAACAAAATCAGCAGGCTCTAAACCCAACCAACGTTGTATCGTGCCTACAATACCTGACCGCACCATTCCCATTTTACCTTCTTTTATGATTCTATTTAATGCTGGGATAGCATCTTGCAGTTTTTGATGTCGGGTATCCTCTAAACCCGCAATTACAATACCAAAATTTACAGCCGGTCTCCATAGGTCTGGATAACATATAGGATCCTGTGTCGGGAACAATTTACTGTCCACAACTGACCAAGAAAGTAATTTGAAGAGGTGTCTGCCACGTTGAGACTCTTCTTCAACACAATGGTCCTCCAATCGCTCTAATATATTACAATATTCTTTCAAGGCCGGAAAAGCCATTGTATTTACAGAAACATACTGGATATTATAGTTGGCTTTTTGTTCATGGATCTTTGAGAAGTGTGCTTGCGTCTCCTAGAAAATAATTGAAAAAGATTACATTGTAATTATTGTAATTCTAAATCATGCAACATAAATATAGCTACCTCTGGAGATAAATGAAAGAAGTTATTATCATCATGAGAACTAGAGACATCACGGACATATTGGGATGTTGCATTTTTATTCTTGATAGATTTCAAAAGTAGGTTAGAATTGAATGATGATATATCACATTTTTTTCTGACATTTATATGTTCGCTCACTATATCATCTGCAGATTGTTATTTATGTGTTTACCTTCTTAGAGGCAACTGCCTCTTCATTTTCATGGGGTCGCTTGGAGATTAGGGCTTTCTCGTTTTCGATGACTTCTTCCTTTTCTGCTTCGTCTTTAAAAAAATCGGCATACTCAGTAGTAGATTGAATGGGATGTAAATTGGTATCAGATACAGTGGGTTGGAAAATATCTTCGTCAGATTTCCGTTCCTAAAAGTTGAAATTTAATGGTAACGGTAAGTACTAAAGCAAATGCATAGATTCAGAAGGCACGAATAAAAACGCCGACAATACTTTTTCAATCAATTCTGTTGACTTTTCTGCATAACGCGATGAAAGTTTAAGTGTATTGAAATCGCTAGACTTCTTTAAAAGTTCACATCCATTCCTATCGAAAGACCTCTCGAGTTCCCGTTCGTTTTGCCTCTATGAACGATAAATTAATATTTTCAATAGATATTATAGGCCAAAAACCATAAATTATTTACCGCATCAAACTCTTGATCCAATTTTTCAAAAAATTCAGTGATCTCTCTTCTTTTAAAAGTTTCACAGGCATTATCGTATAATTTTTTCGCTTTGTTCTTCATCCTAGAATTACTTACAATACTAGACTCATTAACTTTCTTAAAGGCTCTTTTCAACGCGTCTAAGATCTCTTGTTTACTATCAGAAGTAAATTGTATATGATTCTTCAAGTGGTTAAGGCAGTTAAGAACATTCCAATTCTTATAATCAGAGTCCATTATATAAGTTAAAATGTGTTGGTAAAAGTCCATATCTAATATAAAACGCACCATTAGTGATCTGGGAGATAATTATGACGAAAACGAATATTATTATTGTGACATTTAACAATATAGTATACTGGAAAAGAGGTCCAGACGTCGGCACTAAGAGCCATTACAAAATAATCATGTAACGAGTCATAGTGATTCATTCTGCGACTACTCCTCCAAGCATCGGCCAAAGGGCAAAGACCATAGAGACGTAGGATACTGATATTGTTAAGTACACTGGAAGAGAGGTCCAGACGTCGGCACTAAGAGCCATTACAAAATAATCATGTAACGAGTCATAGTGATTCATTCTGCGACTACTCCTCCAAGCATCGGCCAAAGGGCAAAGACCATAGAGACGTAGGGTACCATTAACGCATCTTTCATTTGTGAAAACATGAAAAAAAATACTAAACTTAGCTTCTGTATAAGTTAGGCGGAATGTCTTTCTTGGGATAACTTGAACACGAGAAATGGTTTTATATACGCTCGTGTCATTCATAATCTCTCTGACTCAAGGTTACACGAGCTCAGGGGCGGTGATCACAGAATTTGGCCTGATTTAGGATTTGCAATCATCGTTACTTTTATCACACACAAAATTTACTTTTTATCACCACAAAAAATCATCGTCTGATCAAGAAAATTCGTGCTGGTGGTCACGAAATGTGTTGAGTCAGAAAGTATGATACTCATACTGGGGAAATTTTACATAGAAATTGACTTTTGATGGATGAGGATCACGTTTTACAATTCTACAAATAAAAAAACATGAGATCATGACCCATGGTCACATCACATATCAGGTGATAAGCGTGAAGATTCTTCACGGTTGGTGATGGGCGTTAATTAACCATTCCGTGGAATTTTATGAGATTTGTACAGTATTATTAATGTAAAATTCGCACAAATCCCGATAAATTCCTGCAGATTCCATGGGAATCCCATCCCTATTCACAGTGCTTTATTAATGAGCGATGAAAAAAAAATAAATACAAGCTTAGGACTAGCTTACTATACATGATAAGCTTTATGTCACAATCGCGAACTTGAATTTATTGCTTGAAGTGAAGCAAGTAAGACAATATTCTGTTCCATACCATTCGCCATGTAATCCATAATTCCCATGTTTTCCATCACAAATAGGACATGGCGAGCTCCATGGCTGAGCGGATACAAAATTATAATTATCAATCCCTCTGAAAGTATTTCGGAATTTCAAGTATGGGAAGTGCTCTAAGACGGATTTGATAATTAATTCTGGATTGGGTCTGGCTTCGAAAGTGATGGGCCCTTCTTCTTCACATTGCTCAGGAAAAGATGATGCTTTGTTTTCTGGTATCGAATTTATGAGGTGACCTTCTGATGCATGCGCTTCTGATAATTGCCATGGCTCATTTTTAGTTTCTTTTTTATATCTTTTGTATAAGCTGGATCGAATCCTATCTGTCAAAACACTTGGTAACCCAGTTAATTTGGCATGCCAATCCAAGTATTTGGGAGTTAATATTTTATTGGATTCGTTCATGTTTCCTATGATTACAGATCAATTTAAATTAGGTAATAGTTGACATACTGCAAATTAGTACTAAAAAAATATCACAATGAAACATGAGCAGTCTCAGAGACCCAGACTATGCAACTATCTCAATTTCGCGCTATTCACATTTAATAAAATAGGATCCAGCTTCATATCTACCATCTATACCTTCCTCATCATCGTGATCTAACTTACATAATGGATATGGAGTCTCGTCGATAATTCCATAATAATCGAACTTTTCATTACTAAATTCTCTATATAAATTAGGATATTGGTCCAATGCTTTGTTGCAAAAATAGGCGTGGTCATAAGTTGGATTAGATTGGGATGTAGATGGTACATTTGCTTGAGACATATCTGATGAAATCATTTCCGATAGAGCATTTGGCTGAGAGAATGCTGGTACTTCAGTTGGGAGACCACGTGTGTGTGAGCAATTGTTCACGCTGATCAATTTTTGAGATTTGGTTAGTTTATCAATATAAAGATTTATTATATTCTGGATTTGTGCATCAGTTAGTCTAGAGATTGCATCAGCACTAGATGTAACCACTCCAATTTTATCTATTCCTATTCCTTTAAACAAGGTATAGATGTTTTTAGCCTTTTGTGTCATCTTACGCAAATACTCTCTCTTTTTACCGGGAAGATACAGCTCCATTTCATCATAAATCTGCGTTCTTGCCATTTGATCGCTAATATTATTTTCGGATCTAAGGGTTACAATCTTTTTTTCATATTCCTCACTATAGTAATACCATCGTAATTTTTCTTTCTGACCGGTCTTTTCAGCCTTGTCGAATAAATGAGCTAAATGAAGTACAGAACCTGGAGTTAGGTCAGCATTGACTGGGACATCTGGAATATGTTTGCTAGATATAGAATTCGGTAAGGACGTGGAATTATGGCATTTAATAAATTCAAGTAATTCACGTATTAAATCTTGTTCTACTTTCTGATTATAGGGAATTTTTTGGGGTGGAGTGTCCTGTTTGTTTCCAAAAGACTCACAGGGTATCGCTGACTCTGCATATGATTCCTTTGGAATCGATTCTTCGACTACCTGTTCTGGGGGAGTTACAAGTCCAGTGCTAGTCGTAAAGAGGTCTGTTATACAACTGGTGTTAATTGCTGGGGATGATTCCTGGACAATCAATTCGCCCTGAAGCTTTTTTTCCCGCTTCCTCTGCCTGATCTCATCGCTAACCTTTCTCTTATACTCCTCATCCAAGAAATCATCCGTCTCTTTATCCTCCAATGACTTAGTTTCTATACGAATAGGTTTGCATGCATTAGAATTAAATGTACTATCAGATGTATTTGATGGCTTTGCCATCTTTTCTAGTTTACCCAGGCGAACAACATTGTTGGGATTCTCGACAGAGCTGACATTGGCCGATGATTGTTTGATTTCCTTGATATCACTATCCATTTTGGCAATAAGGTTGGTCTTTTCTTTATCTCTCTGCTCTAGTCTCGTGAACCTAGCTTCATGTTCTTCCAAAGCGCACCTTAACTTTGCATTCTCAGCCTTGACCTCTGCATTCTCATCCATAACCTTAATATATTTGGCCTTAACCTCAGCATTCTCAGCCTCAAGCTCAATAATGCGTTGTCTCAATGAATCAAGTTCGGATGACATGATAATATTTTAATGCTCTATAATACTAGTATTCAAAATCGGAAAAATATGTAGGCCATTTTGGCTGATCGTGAACAATTGTTCACGCCGATCTCTTTTGCCAAGAAAAAAAAAATATTAATAGGGGTTTACGACAATCATACAAGTAGGCACAATCCCTTACCCTGAGTGTCTTCGGCTGGGATCAACTTATTCGTTGTCTCTCTCTTTCGAGGCGACGATAGATTTTTTTGGCATGTTTGGAACAATAGCTCGTATAAGATAATGTAGGTTTATCACATATTCTGCATGGAGATTTTAGCATATTATTTGCACCTGATTTCCAGTGAAGCGAACATTCTGCCAAGCGGGTGCAGACTCGGCCACAAGTACTCCCATCCTTTCTAATATGTGGGCAGGTAAAACGATCCATTTATTATATTCTTTCTTCACTTCCATTATAAAATCTGATTTCAAATTATGGAAAAATCCGAATTGAACTTCAGTGGAAAAAGTATAACATAAACGAAAAATATATACCACACCATACTACTTCATTTCTATGGACAAGCAAAAAACAGTATTCAATATTTTAACAGACCGATGGATCGACCCAAATGGAAAGCTATTTCAGAAGTTGATTCGAGAAGGCTATAAATATGTAGATAGGCTTTCCGATTACCTAGAAGATATTGGGACTTTGTATATTGACGAATTCGAATTGGACCCCTTAGCCGACTTCTACCACCCAGCTCTAATTCCACCCTTATCTATCTTAACGAGTAGATCAGATATTTGTAAAAGGGTTCCTATTAGTGTAGAATCTGCTGTTATGGGAGGAATGAGTCTATTTACTCTAGAAAAAAATAAACGATCTTCGCTCCAGAATCTAATCCAAATGAACTATTCCATTAATAACTTGACCACGTTAATAGGAATAACTTGGAAGCAAGAAGAGATGAAAACTTGGAGAAACGACGTGCTTATGAAATTCCTCCATCACCCGGATTTAGCCCCTTCAAAGCACAAACCAGGTGCTTTATATGATGCATTCACCAAGACTAGTGTTTTAAGGTCAGAACATATATTGGCTCTAGCGTGAGTATTTTGTTAAGGGGTGATTACGATATAAATAAATTGTTTATAGCCCTGGAATGGCAGTTCCATGACTATATATTTTTTCGTTTATCATCTGTAAAATTCAAATTTTTTTTATTAATACAAGATAAAAATAAATATAAAGTTCAGGATGTAGCCCGCGATACATGACGAAGTTTTACATTTCTATCCTAAGCCCTATCTGTTCCTAAATTCTAATTCGATTTTCCTGCGATGTTGCTCAATGACTTTACCCTTTTTACACCACTTTGCGAAGCTTCCACCGGCTTCTGTGCCTCCTCTAATAACCACACAATATGCCCGAGGACCTTTTCCACCTTAGTTTGCAAATTCTCATCGTCATATACAACGATCACAGGTTTCGATATTGCAAATGATGGCTTCCCATCTTTATCTAGCGTACACTCCATAAAGTACCATTCAGACGCATCGGTAATAATCCCAAACACCCTATCTACATCTTGCCCATTATCGATTTCTTCGGCTTTGCGTTTACGAGTCAAGGTTGACTCCATCTGAACAGATGCCTGGGTGAACTCCTTCATAAAATCTTCTTTCTTAACTTCGATTACACCAAGGATCCTACCAGTCGAACGACATTCTACTGCATAATCAAGGATTAGTTTCAGACGACATAACGCTTTTATGGTGATATTTAGCTCAGGTAAAAAAATGTGTTACGTTCCAGAGTGAGGAAAAATAGAGTTTTATATCTGGTGGGAACGCAAGCGTTAATATAGGTTTTTATATCACACAGACATTGTATCATTACACGTAACCCGTTTCTCTTATACATCCGATAAAATAATACTTTATTTATGAAATAAAAACGTTGTTGCTACGCACCTACAATACATAAAAATTGCGAATATATCGCTTTACATGATACAAATAAAAATACTAATTATTTGTAGGAGGATACACGATAACATTGATTCCCTTTTCACCGTCACTGGGATAGAAAGGTTGGGGCTGAATAGGAAAATAACTAAATTGTATTTTGCAGATTCATCAATTCTGCACCATCCAATATAGCCACATTGTTGTTTCTTAAGTTTTGGATTATGACCCTGTCGGCTTCGGATTTATTCTTATATAAAACCAATCTGGTCGAATTAATATCTCGAAATTGATCTAGACGACAGTTTCTGATTGCCTTCGCGAGAGAAGAAACTCGATTGTTATTAGCGTTAGATATCGTTACTTTGAAGATATCCCTTGCTTCTTCACCAGGAATCAAACAGTTGAGAGTAATATTTCCACCTTCGAGCAACTTATCAAGTTTTGATTTATCAGATGTTTCAGGCTTATCAGGAACCTCAGTCTTATCGGTCATCTTGTTTTCCTAAAACCCATAGTGAGAAAAAACTCGCTCCCATACATACGTAATTTATGACATATGCATACCTTATTTTCCGTTATTTTCTCTGGGAAAGTTTTTTGCGGAAAGTTGGCTGAACTTCCACATACTCCTACATGCTTTATATCTTGCTGTTGGGAAGGAAAAAGTTAAGGAGGTATGAGGCGTAATTAGCTTTGTCGTATGATGCCAAGAGTTCCATGAAAGCATATGTAAACAGAACCCTCATACCTTTTCACATGTAGATCTACCGGAGAGACATATAGTTGGTCTTACGCCTGGCGATCTCAAAATTACAAAGTCCTCAGCCCTTCATAGCATATGCTTTTGCCAGCGCTATTTACTTTTAGAGTTGGGAAAAAATAAAGAATAAAGGTTAATATGTTTTTCGAATATATATGCAAAAATTATTATGTCGTACAAAACCTGTCTGATGATCCACTTACTTTTTATCGTACAGGAGTGGCCCAGCAAATTCATCCGAGCTGAAGATCACTGCTCCGGACTGGCTGGCTTATCATCTTTTTGCGCAAACTCTAGCTCCCGTGCCAATCTATCCAATGTTAATTTAAGACCAATTATATAGGCTTCTTGACGAAATTCAGGTGCAACCCCTGCTAGAAACACCTTTTTAATATTTTTATTCGCATCTTCTATAATATCATCTAAACTTTCCATATTGTGTAATTTGCTATTAAATCCCATACTTTGCTATATGAGCCTATATTCTTAATTGAAAAATAATATTAATGTATGCATAGTAACTTCCCTACCCACTTGCTTATACGCCAGAAAAAAAATATATAATATTTATGTTAATGCTGTAACTTGTCTTCCCTGTATATATTCACCATTCACTAGTCTAGTTATAATAAGCTTTGCCGGAAGACAGTTAGATTGACATTGCTCTAAGCATTTGTTCTATTTCATCATCTGATCTTTCGCGATTCTCCTCTTTAGCTATATGATAATAAAGCTCGTATAATTCCTCTAAGCTGGCACACAGATCATTATCTGCATATCTTTTGCGATAATTTTCTAGCCTCAGAGTGTATGCCTCTTCGTTAGGAAACATCTTGACTGCGACTGTCTTAATATAGTCATTTGGATTCTTTTCAGCTCGTAACTTCTTTAGATATTCTCCATAATTTTTCGCAAGATTATCATATTTTTTGCCCTTTCGCAATGCAGTTTTTATGACTTTGATTTGCGCAAGTTCTATATCCTTATGATCGACCATTTTTGTATTGTTTCTACTATAACGATAGAAAAACTTTAATTAATAAAATTATATTTTTGATAATTTTTACCCCAAAAATATTTGTTATAAAGCATCTATTCCCTAACTCGAAGTCTAACTTTCATAGCCTTTCTTCTGCTTCCTCAGGAGATATTTTAGATGCTACTAGGCATTTGTATAATCCAATTCGCCAATATCCATATGGGAGAGTTCGAATTCCATCAAATAAGATCCAGTGCTTGTTATCATATGGATTCAGCCCTATCTTATTTACCTCTCCAGATATATTTGATGATCATAACTTCAGAGGCCATACATATCATGCTGGGTTAGTTTCTTGTTTCTAAGACATTTTAGGAACTTATCATGTCGAAGTTTCCTCTTAATCACGCATTTCTTAACACCCTTTGCCTTCTGGATGCTATGCTTCTTTTTAGGGTCTTCTGAATCGGAATCATCAGGAGTTTTAGGATCATGACCTGCTGGAAGAACTGAATACATTTTTGGTTTTACTGGGGGGGGGGGGACAAAAGTATTGCATGCTTTTATTTTTTCAATAATTTTTTATTTTTTACAGAAACATACAATTTTTTTTTTATTTTTCGAAAACTGACATTA